TCGATGTCAGTGTCGAAGTGGCGGCTTTGGCGAGCTCAGTCTACATTGCTGGCTATGCGTTTGGCCCTCTAGTCTGGGCTCCTCTGTCTGAGCGCCAAGGTCGCCGGCTCCCTATCGTTGTGGCTATGCTGGGCTTCGGTATTTTCAATACGGCTGTTGCTGTGTCCAAAGACCTCCAGACCTTGATAATTTGTCGCTTCTTTTGTGGTGTATTCGGTAGCAGCCCGCTCATCAATGTTGCCGCTATCTTCGCTGATATGTATGACAATTCGACACGTGGGATCGCTATTGCCCTCTTTGCTAATACTGTCTTCCTGGGCCCGCTGGTTGCATCCTGTGTTGGGGGGTTTATAAACAAGTCATATCTTGGCTGGAGATGGACTGCTTATATACCCTCATTTATGGGATACACAACATGTATTCTTAATCTGCTATTTCTCAAGGAAACCTATGCGCCACAAATTCTGACTTCAAAAGCAACCAAAATGCGCCAAATCACCGGAAATTGGGGTATCCATGCGAAACAGGAGCAGATCGAACTTAGTCCACATGATTTGGTTGTCAACAACCTAGGACGGCCACTGCAAATGCTTTTCAAAGAGCCGCTTATTATAGCTGTCACGATTTACCTCAGCTTTGTTTATGGCTTGCTCTACTGCTTTCTATCTGCTTACAGTAGCATCTTCCAAGGCGTCTATGCCATGTCTCCCGGTGTCAGCGGGCTTCCAATGCTGTCCAACGTCGTGGGCCTGCTCGCTGCAACGGCTTACATGGTCTACGTGAATAAGACCTACAACGCCAAGCTAAAGGCCAACAACAATATCCCCATTCCAGAGTGGCGACTGCCTCCGGCAATCGTGGGTGGTGTCCTCTTTTCCGCGGGGCTCTTCTGGCTCGGCTGGACTGGATTCACGGGCACCATCCATTGGATTGTCCCGACCCTGAGCGGCCTCTTCACGGGTGCCGGTTTGCTCATGATCTTTATTCAATTGTTCAACTACCTGATTGATACATATCTCGCTTAGTGAGTGCCATCACTTGATCTCCACATGCTTTCGACAACTTTCTTCCTTTCTCTTTTATCGGAGATTCTCTGACTTGCTACAGCGCTGCATCTGCATTAGCGGCAAACACCTTCTGCCGCTCGCTCGTGGCAGCAGGGTTCCCGCTCTTTTCGTCGCAAATGTTTGCCAATATGGGCATTCAGTGGGCCGGCACACTGTTGGGCTGTTTAGCTGTGGCCCTGGTACCAATACCTCTGGCATTCCTGCTTTATGGCAAGCGTCTGCGGTTAAGAAGCCAATTTGCCCCAGTACTGGACAAGGAGGCGTAAGATTAGGCCTTATATCTGAAGCTATGCTCAGAGGCCCAGCCAGGGCTTTGGTCATATACCGCCCCTGAAGCAGAAGAACGAGCCCTAATCTGTGTTGGGATCTGGAGGCATGCGTCATTCATGGTTTGGTGCCAAGTAGATTGTCTAATCGCTGGCTTTCTTCCATTTACTATAGCCCATGTAAATGTATTTATAGTAGTCACAAAACGGCTTTACATCAGTATGAAAGAAGGAAATACTAAAATTATCAATGAATATACTCGTCTTCCAATGAGCAAACCCATGGACTATGCATGCATGCAAGCCGTCGATTTCCACTTCTAACAACGGCAACATGGACATGTCCATGCTATTTAGAAGGGCACCGGCTGTTACAAAAGAACATCCTTGAATATCAGAGGTAGATTGCATGTTCGAAATACCCCACGTCCTAACGTTGACGCCAAATTCCCAAGCAGCATATACGAGTTTAATGCACAAGGTAAAGTGGATAAGCCGGGAACTCGGCAAATTGGTAAATCTGCGCCGATGTGACTGTACCGCTTTTTCAGACCTTCACCCGAAATCTATAATGCCGGTCTAAGTCTCACTAATCATGGGAGGTCATCCGAGAGTATGCAAAGGGAACACACCGCATGTCTGTTCCTGGTAAATGCCTTCTTTGTGGCTGGCATAGCGCCGGCTGGACCGAATAAGCGTTTGCCACCTGCGGGTCCCTTTGAAAACAGAAAGACTCGGTGGTACCCCAGAGATTAATTGGTCAGAGGGACCCGTGGGTAGTGACTGCGGAGATCCCGAGATCTGCAGTTCTGTGATGCCCGTGTCGAGTCGAGGGTATCCACTCTGCACTGGTCGAGGAATGTGGGTGGCTACAATGATGGCCTTGCCATAAGAATCTATGGCCTTCTACAAGGTATCTGAGACCGTAAGCTAAAGCTTGAAGGTAGAACAGCACATCTTGAGGTGTAGCAACTGACCCGGTGTTCCTCCACTCATAAAAATTCCTTACTGGTAGGATGACCCCACCAGATAGATGCATATCCGCTCTAATTGTGAGTAAAGTACAAAAAGACACACAGACACAAAGAGAGAGAGGGAAAGAGGGAGGGAGGGGACACAACCCAAAGTGGAACCATATCAAAACCGGGCGCCAGCGGGACACAATGATCTTCGACCCGTGTGTTGATCTGGACCTGGGTCCAAAGTGAGATAGCCCAAAGAAGTGCACCAATAATCAGCTACGAGTATATCCTTCTCGTCATACTTTGGAACAGGGATACTACAGCCATACAGACCCTGGTTGACCATTTGCAAACACCGCACTTCGAATGCTATCCCGTGATGTAACTCTCACCGCCGAAACTGGACTTGTTCATCCCTTCTACCCATTTGTTACTCGCTTCGGCATACCCTTTATCCTAGCAGATAGTATCTATGAATTGATCCTGGGATGGAGTGCTGAACTGTGTTATCATTTGCCTTCCATATTTTACAAACCCAATACGTGTGACCTGACTTGCTTCTACTAGGTAACTCCAAATTAGACTGCATACATACCTTTCCCAATTTTCGGGAAACTTTGTTTATAGTACATCTTCATATGATGCACCTAGGGTGACTAGTCGGATAGCACGGATGGCAGAGATGGAATCCGGTTAAAATCGGCGATTAGCATTCCATATATCATCTGAAACTGTCGCAGTCTATGCAAGGCGAGCCAACACGTCCATCACAAACCTTTAAATGGGGAGTAAAACCCACCGTGATATGAAGTACCATTCGCATCCACGCTACCGAACGGAATTTCGTTGCAACAACCTCAAGATGTTGGTGCTAAGTGTCCCCTTGCTTGACCATCCGGTTCATATGCCAGCGGTGTATTTGCCACTCCTCTTTCTTTCATTACTTGTATGTTTCTCCTCCCAGAATTACAGTCTCATTACCTCTCACTAAACTGAGACAGATATTGAAGCAAGCGTTCTTGAGCCCCCTTCGTCATCTTCCTGGGCCGTGGTACACTTCCTGGACAGGGATTGTGCTTCGTTTTCAAGCACTGAAAGGCTACCGATCCCAATGGGTAGATGAACTACATCGAAAATATGGACCTGTAGTGCGTATCGCACCAGATGAGGTAGATGTATGTGACTTTGAGGGATATCGGGAGATTCACAAGTTTAGCAATCCCTTCCTGAAAGCCCCATGGTATATCAGGTTCCGCGAAGCAGTCAATTGCTTCACAGCTACTGACCCCCATGTTCATGTCCGTAAACGAAGACTGCTCTCCCGTCCGTTTAGCAAGAGCTCTCTCCGCGAGCATTGGGAACCTACTGTACGTCGGCTTGCGGCAGCAGCCGTACAAGGAATCAAGAAGGAAGCTGCAGTTGAAACCTCCGATGCGATGAAGTGGTGGACATTCATGGCCACTGATGTGACGGGCGCTTTGGTTTTCAGTGAGTCCTTCGGCATGACCGAATCCGGACAGGTTAGTCTCCTTCATATCAGCCCAATATCTTGAGTCCATGCTGACCAACTTTGGATTTTTTTCTGATTCAGAAAAGCAAGTATATAGAAGAGCTGGAGTTTGTCAACAAGGCTCGGGCGCTCCGGTTAGAGATCTACGGCCTCTACTGTGCGCTGAGGACTTTTACGCTGGGCTACTTTGATCCTCTTACTCGAGCAGATCAATATATCGAAAAGAGAACAGCGGAGGTCGTCCAACGAGCCTCAGAAAGACAACTCGTCAAAGCAAATATCTTTGCGGGTCTAAAGGGCGAGAAGAGCAGCGATGAAACAATGGCCGACCGGGAAGTGTTGCTAGAATCCATCATGTTGATTGTTGCTGGCTCTGGAACAACGGCAGTGACGATGACCTTCCTCACCTGGGCAGTGATGGCGAACCCTGAGATTCAGTCACGACTGGAAGAGGAAGTGGCAACCCTTTCGGAGGGATTTACAGACTCGGAGCTGGAAGCACAGCCGTACCTCAATGCTGTGATTAACGAGGCCCTTCGATTGTACGGGGCAGCTCCCTTTGGGTTACCTCGCATTGTTCCAGCTACTGGGTTCAGTGTGTGCGGACATCGAATTCCAGGAGGTGCCATCGTCACCACGCAGTCCTTCTCTTTACATCGTGATGGAAATGTCTGGGCTGAACCTGATCAGTAAGTCGGCATCCCGACTTCCACGTAATACCTCAGAGCTTCTAACACCCATTTTTCGTTTTAATAAAACACAGATTCATCCCGGAACGGTGGTTGGAAAAGCAACAGCACCCCGAGGCGATTTTTGCGCCCTTCGGTGGTGGCAGTCGCACTTGTATCGGGCTTCACATGGCCCAGATGGAGCTTCGCTTAGCTACTGCTCTGCTTTTTCGTGAATGCGCGGGCATCAAATTAGCCCCGTCCACGACGCCGGAGTCGATGGAGATTGTGCAATACTCCCTAATTGCTCCGAAGGGCAGAAAATGTGAAGTTATGTTGTAGCTGGCAATGTTTGAGCTATGCTGCAGCTCGCGAACATACTTATGATTGCTTAGCTCCATTTGTAACTAGCTCTACAATTTACCGCCCCCCTTCGGATGATTCGCTTCTAGATCCAGTTCTAATATGCTTTTAGAGGTAGCCTAGAGTATTCATCAAGACGTAGAAGCTATGGTAAGCCAGTTCCTTTAACTATACCACCCACTCTTATAATAAGCAGCAATCCGGCAGCGTAAATACGGCGACATTGGAAACCGGACATGCGCAACACGTTCCCGATAGCGATCATTCAGAAGTACATAATGCCATCCCGACGTTGCAAATCGTCGTAGCACCGCGCCTCTAGGGTCCTGATCGAGGGACCCCAGAGCCCGTAAATAAACCCAGCGTAGCTCACGCTTGAGCATCTCGCGATCTTTGCCTGCAACAGTCTCTGTCGGTTCATCTTGCAATATACCCAGAGCTTCCTTTCCCATATCCATGGAAATTGCATCGCATGCGCTAGCCATTTCAAGTGCATGATCTGTTTGCCCTTGTGGTCGAATACCCTTACTGGTGAGAATACATACAGCCACACCATGAGTCCCTGCGGTCAACACCCTCCATAGAGTCATGAGGGTAGCTTTTCCTATCAAGATCTGGCGGATGGCCGGGTCGACTTTTTCGAGATATTGAATGATACACTGTCGCCACAGGTACATCTCCAGTAGTTTGATATCGTCCGGATGAACACCTTCCAAGCGCAGCCCTTCGAGAACATCCGCTAAAGAGTTTCCCAGTAAGCGGAAAGAACCATCTGCTACATCTTGCGGAGGGATCGCTATTTCGTCGACGATGGCCACAAATGCGATGTACAAATGCTTCCAGCGATGGCCTTCTATAAATCCGTTCCAATGGGCCCACCATTGGAGCACGTCACGCATGACGTATCGACATACTTCTTCGACGCAGGTGTCGCCTTTGTCGGTGTGGATGGTGTAGTCTTTAGAGTGGTGTTCAGGATGGTTTTTTATGTACGCATCAATGTGGTCGCATAGCGGTCGTGTCTCGTTGCACGTACATGGGGGGCGAGAGACGTCGCCGAGGGCGGAGAATATGCGCATGCAGTCTTCGTCTAGTTCCACGCCATATTCTGTATTGTTGTTCTTGCCTGGATATGAATCCAACTCACAGAGATGGCTGCAAAATTGCAGAGGGTTGTTGGACCCTGTAAAGTATTCTTTTACCGTATGCCACATGCCATCCATTTTTGGACCGATTTGGTTCGAGAATGCCGGAGCAGCCACAAATATGAGAGATGCTTGGGAGATAGAGACAGAATTATGACGGCCGCACGAAATTGTCTTTTAACTGATTACTCTTCTCTTATCTTTCTCTTTTCCTTCTCACCCCCTAGCACGCGGTGCTACACTTCTATAACTAGTGGCCACCGATGACAATTACTGACAATCCTGCAAGGGATACAAGATGGCAAGACAATCAGCTGTCCACTGGTGAACCAAGGCGAGTGTGCATAGTGTAACTACAGCAGTTGGTGTTATTGGACGATGATGATGTGTCCGCTACCACAGAAGATGAGTCGAAGGTCTGCTTTCACTATCAGGAGCCTTCTTCGGGCTTCATACAGGTCCTGGGTTGTACCATCTTTCTAAGATCTTCATTCCTCTCATGCTGTCGAACAGTCGCCACATTCACGCCTTGAAATATTTTAACAAATATTTGCTCAATGGTCAGTTCTATCCCTAGCAGCTGGGTTTATTCGTTCTGACCATTTCCTCATGTACTGGCATGCTCATAGACAACCCCCTTTTGCTTACTTTAACGCACGATGAGCCTCCAGTGAATTACCCTATTAGTATATGGATGCAGTTGCTCTCTTCATACCAGATTAATTAGAGTTCTGCTAGGCATGTCCATTGTCCTAATATGTCCCACCCTGAACCCTCCATTACCTACATAAACAGGGAGGAGTAAATGTAAGATAACGGACAAACGAGGTCCTGTGTACCCCTAAATCCACACTTATCTCCGCTTATACCTCTTCCCATGGCTCACAAGGAAATACTTAGCAAAGAAATCCTCCGCAAAATCATCAAAAGGCACATATTCCGCCCCAAGTCGATACGCAGCCGCAATGCCCGATATACAAGCTATCTCATGCATATTCTGCCTGCCATCAGTATCTGAAACACCACCCACAGCCGTGAAAAGTCTGAGTACTCACCACCATCGTCCAACTTCCCGCAAATAACGTCCGATTCTTCCCATTAATGAACATCATCCCCGGCACCACACGTATATAATGCTGCCAGTTATGTCCGAACTGATGCCACCATTTCTTCGCAATGATCTTATCCTTGTCGATGCTTTCCCACGTCCATAGATCCGACTCCTGTTTATTCAGAAAGATCGTCTGATACACATGCCGATCTGGCTCCAAAGACAGAGCCCCCTCCCCCAATGCCTCCCGGAACTGATGCTGATAGTTCGAACAATCGAACCCCATCTCGATCTTCTGCGGATCCTGCTCATACGAATGCGTATAGTACATAGGCGCAAACCCGTCCCATCCGTCCTTCCGACAGCGCGGTGTCTGTTTCGCAAACGAGATCTGCTCGTTGCGCGCTTCAGTCGAAGCCTTCCCGCACAAATCACTTTTATACCTCGTTTCGAAGATACTATTGAAGTAGTCCGTATCACTATGCGTGACCGTGACATCATCGTAGAATCTCACACCCCCGAGCACATACTTCTCCCTCCACGTCGCATGCCTACCCAGCAACTTCTTCGCCTCATCAGCCGGCACACACAGCACAAGCTCATCAAAGTGCTCATCATGCATCACCCCCTCCCACCTTCTCTCACCCCCATCCCCCCTGTCCCAAACCCTCAAGTCTACCCCCTTCTTAGTATCCCTCCCCAATATCTCCACCTCCGTCCCCAACCTCACCCTCACCCCCTTATTATCCCCCAAATCCCCCACCCAATCGCCATAAAACCTCCCCAACTCCGGAAATGTAAACATCTCCGGCCGATTCGGCAACAACATATCGGGATCAAAATCCCACAACCTCATCTGCTGATCATCAAACAGCCGTTCCAGCAACACACTCGACACATTCGGCGTCTGGTTCCCCGTGCCCAAGAACAGTGCAATGAGCGGAAGAACCATCTTACTTCCGAACTCTGCACTAAACCTGAACAGCCGAAGGACAATCTTGATAGGCAGTATACCCAGGAATGGCATCAACCGCTTAATCCACTTCAGCACGCGGCCGAGTCTCTCGATCTCGGCGGAGTATCTGTCCACGAGGGGGGAAGGGAACATGTTGGTGAAGAAGCTGTCGGGGCCTTTGCCGAAGGATACTTGGAGCTGTACGGGTTGGGGCTCGTATCCGTAGCGTCGGAAGAAGTTGAATGTGTGGTGGAATATGGATGAGCCGCCTTGTACGCCGTCGTTGAGCCAGGTTGCGCCGTGGTTGGGCGGGAGGGGGATCGAGGTCGCTTGGCCGCCGGCGTGGGGGGCGGAGTCGAAGAGGTGGATTACGAATTTGTCTGGGTGTTGAGATAGGGTGGAGGCGCAGGACTGCGTGGGTTTTGGTAGTTAGCTGGCAGTTGGGTTGGGTTGGTTTGTGATTGGGAGGGGAGGGAAGGGGAGAGCTGTACCATGCCTGCTGCTCCGGCGCCAATGATAGCAACTTTCTTTCGAGGAGATTCTGATGCCATGGCTGATTGGCGTTGTTAATTGTTCATGGTTGAAGAGGGAGTGGAGTTCGAGGAGGTGTGATGTTGTCTAGAAGGAAACTGAAATACTAATCATGACGTCAGGTGGATTTCCGCTTTGGGTAATCTGTATACTCGGCATGTGGAGGAAGTAGTAGAGGATTATTGTGTATGTTCTATATTATCATCTTTATAGCGCTATGAGAACCCTAAACTGAGTATGAATAAGCCATGTCTGAAGCTAGTCCAAAGTGAAGCACAGTAAATTAAGAGTAATACGGAGACTAGACTAAATTAAGGCTGTAGTAATACTAGAATACAGTCAAAAGAGTGTGAAAGACAACCAAAGAACGCGTGCGCTGAATGACCTACTGACAGACAAATGATGAGGCAATTGTAGGGTCTCCTCCTACATACTGCGCAGTAGCAGGATAGGGACAGAGAATCCTTGACATCCCACCATCCGCAGAGACAGATCGCAGATGATCAGGAGCTATGCCTCCTTCAACCCATGCCATCAATGACTCCATCAAACACGTTGGAGCTGGCCCCTTTCCATTACCACAGTGTTCGACTCCTGGCGCCTCAAAATAGAGATAAAAATCCTGGACTGATGGATCTCGCAGTTGGACCTTTCTGTAGTAGTCCACAGAGCCATTTGGAGGAACTTGCCAATCAGCTAAGCCATGCCAATGAATAATCTTTCCCCCTCTATTCTTGAAGTCGTAGAGATCGGGATTATTAGCATCGGTAATTGCTTTGTATCCGGTGATGGATTGATAGAAGAGGGACTCAAACTCAGCTTGATCCATGTCAACCAAGTCGATATCGGGATCTTGAGCAACAAAATATTGCAGCCAGTCCACGCTCAAGTAATCGGGCAAAGAATGACATCGGTGATTCCCAATATCATCGGTAGCAGTACAGATCGTATAGTTCCATGGCGTACCCTGATTGAAACCGTACCACAAAGGGGTCCCATCTTCAGCAGTTAGACCTGCCCAGTATGACATTGCAAGTAATGCCACTTCCGCAGTAATGATACTGGGAATACATTCACACCAGACCTCCATCCCTATGAGAGTAAGGGGATCAAAGTTGCAAAGCGGCGGCAGAGCAATGATTCCATCCACAACACCGTCCTGACCATCGCAGTAAGCGACCGCTGCATCCGTTATCTTTTCCATGACGCAGGGGGAGGGATAGACCCCAAGTTGGTTCATGACGAATGTTTGCCAGTAGTTTGCAGGGACAAACTGCGCCCAGTTTATGGTTGGCGCGCCCGCCAATATCCCGTCGAATGCATCGGGCCACCGTTGGGCGATCTCCAATCCCTGCCGCCCACCAGTCGAGCAGCCGTTCCAGTAGGAGTAAGCAGGTAGTGTTCCATAGAGCTCTTGTATGATATACTTGGCGAGAAGCGACAGCTCATAGAGACAAGTTGAGAAGAAATCAGCCAGTCGGGCGAAGTTCACATGGCCCGAGGCATCCTCAAGAGCCCATGATTTTGCTGACCAAGGAATCCTGTCGTGGCCCATGTCAGACCCGGCAGCTGCAAACCCTTGATAGACAGGCAGAGCTAACGTGCCATAGTCCACAAGCCCTGCCCACCCTCCTCCTCCAACTGCCTGAAGCCGATTATTCCATCCAGACAATGGTGCCCAAACGTGCGCGTGAATCAGGTCATCCCAGCCCGGATGCGTATAGGTAACGGTGACATTCCAGAAGCTGATAGTCACATTCTGCGACTGTATTGGATTCACCTGCAAGCCCGTAATTGGGTAGTCCTGAAGTGGAAATGCGGTAATAGAAAGTATTTTCAAACCAGGAATAACCGGCTTCGGAATGTGATAGCCATTGGCAAAATGAGCGTAGAATGTTAAGAGAATAGTGGCCAAAAGCACCAATGCTTGGCTTGCTTTGAGCAGCATCTGGTGTTGACGGAATGATACAGATAATCTCAAGAAGTTACTAAGTGCAGAATTATCGTAGAGACAAGTGAGCCTTTCGCAGTGCTTGTGGCATTTTGAGATCAGGAACGGCATCCGGTGGCGAAGAGGCTGGCTGCAGTTGTGAAGATGACAGTGTAGGAAGGCGCGAGGCATGAGCGCACCACTGCTTGGACCGGGTTGTCGGTGGCTGCTGGGAAACAGCTGCGCTACACATACAGTGTTTAACAATTCGCTTGAACACTTGACATTTCACTGGGAGTCTCAAGACTCTGACAAGATTTGGGGGATATACTCGTAGCACATATGAAGAAGATCCAGTATCTCATCTATAATCTTGCTTGCTGAGCTCAATGGCTGAAAGCATTCTATAACGCCCAAACTAGTTTTCTTACTATTTTTTAATGTCCAGAATTAGCCACTGCATACGAATCAATCCTAAGTGTGAAGTAATAACCATATCAGGACCCAATACATTCCACTGCCACGCCACAGATCTCATCAAGACAAACAGAGGGCTTATTTTCCGGTAACTGTATTTAAAGTACATCTTATGTCCCCAAATTCGGTCTAAA